CATATGAAGCTGTTAAATAAGAAAGAAAGCCCATGGTGTTAGGGGCAAGATATTAGCATGGATAGAGGATTGGCTGACTGGCAAAAGGCAGTGAGTAGGGATAAAGGGCTCATTTTCAAGTTGGCATTCAGTAACAAGTGGAATTCCCCAGGGGTCAGTGTTTGGACAACAGCTATTCACGTTATACATTGATGATCTGGACAAAGGAACTGACAGCATTATTGTTAAGTTTACAGATAAGACAAAGGTTGGTGGAAGGACAGGTATGGTTGAGGAGGCAAGAAGACTGTGGAAGGATTTGGACAGGCTAGGAGAGTGGGAAAAGAGTGGAGATGGAATACAATGTGGGAAATTATGCAGTTATGCACATAGATAGGAAGAATAGAGGCATAGACTACTTTCTAAATGGGAAAAGGCTTTGAAAATCTGAAGCACAAAAAGGGATTTAGGAGTCCAGGTTCAGGATTCTCTTAAGGTTAATGTTCAGTTGGCAGTAACAAAGCCAAATGCAATGTTAGCATTCATTTCAAGAGGGCTAGAATACAAGAGCAGGGGTTCAAGGGATACAGTAAGAAGGCAGGAGAATGCGGTTAAGAAACATATCAGACATGCGTGAATGGCAGAGCAGACTCGCTGGGCCAAATGGCCTAATTCTGTTCCTATATTTTATGGTCTACAGTCTTATGGAGTTCTTATTTTTTTGGTAAAACAAATGCCCTGGGCTGCTCTTTGTCTTTTAAAAGTGACCAGCTTAAACATCCAAATCCTTATTGTTGGTTCTGTGTCTAATGCTCAGTTTTCCACCACCACCAATTCTATCATGTCCAGCAGGCTACATTATAATATTTGTTTCTGGACTGCTTTAAAATTGAATATGCCAAAAAGCTGAATTAAGGCCTGGGAGGGCACGAGAGACCAGATTTGAGCAGAGGCTTCTAATTTGCACGCTGTTTGTCAGCACAGGTAAGAAATGTCACTGACCCAAATAAGGGTCTAAAAACTACTTCCTATTTATGTAGCTGCACTGACTGCAATCTTCAGTCAATTTGATTATGCATTTTGTAAACAATGCAAAATGCATATCAGATTTGAAAATGAATCTTTATAATCTGGACCAACTGGTACACCCCTCACCGAGATGAGACTTTGTAGGTTAGAAATGAAATGCTCCACCTTCATTTTTGGTTAGCCACCTGAGACAGAGTCTTTTAAAAAAAATGTAGTAAGGCCTTTGAATCTGTGAATTAGAGGCTTGACACCTGGTTCGTGATTCTTTTAACTAACATGTCACTACTCAGGAGACTTCAACAAACTCAATGGACATCAAGCAAAAATATGATTTCTCTTGTCCAAACACATCCCTTTGGAGTGGGCAATAGCCAGAGTCACAATCACACTATTTACCCCCACCACCAGGCCCCAGCAATTCCAATGGAGATATTCCTCAAGACCACCAGCAAGGCAGATGGCTAAGATACTGAAGCCTGTTGTATGTTGTGTAACCCACTCATGGAGGTGAGATTAGTTCTGGCAGCTCCCACACCTCCCAGAATCATGTGAAAATCGAGCACCTAAGAGATGATTCACATTGATGCCTAGTTCTCTTCCTTCAGGCAAGGGCTGTCTTTGCAACACTGTCCCTGGGTCTGAAAGTGGGCCCAGAATAGTGTCATCCATGTGCATGTTACAGGTCTAAGCATCATGGAACGGCCAGATATCTCTCTGTGTTTTAAAACAAAACTTAAAACTTTAAATCAGCAGCATGTTCTTGAGCATTTTAAATCATTTAAGTTCTAGGTTCTCAAGTTAAGGCCTAGGTCTTTAGCCACTTTATGTAAACGCGGGAGAGCCATGAAGTTGTCAAGATGAACATCTTGTCGTACATATAGAGACATGTGCTTTGAATTGTATTTCAATTGACAGCTTGAATGAATTGCAAAAGTACGTTTTTATCTTTCTTTCATCACAATCTAGACCAAAGGACCTCTTTTGTTGTTCTGATATATCAACCAGCATACAACACAGTGTTTCTTTTAATGTTGATGTAAAAGCATTTCACAAAGGGTTGTGGTTGAAATGTCGAAGGAATTAAATGAGACATTTACTGTGTTAAACTGTTAATAACTGTGTGGGAAATCGTGTATTCTTTTACTGTACACTTTCTACTGATTGATCTGCTTTTCTTCGATGTTATTTCTGTCTCCTAATTAAAAACAACCTCGTACTTTTTGGCCAGAAACATACGGTGTATCAACATGTCATTTTTTGTTAATTTTGGAGACAGGGAGAAATACAGAAATAACTGGGCCATACTACCCTGGTATACATTCGACTGATGAAAGGCTTCAGTGTTTCCTCTGGACGTGCTGCATCGCACATACTTTGCATAATAGCTGTAGTTTCAATTCACAGGAATTGCAGCTTATAGGAACTGACTTCAACATTGAAGAAGGGAAGAAAATGACAGGAGAAAGCATAAACTGTAACAACGTGACAGAGCCATCATTTATTGAGACACTTGGTTTGATATTTACAGAGAGGTGGGGGATAGAAGGAAGAGTGGCGGGGGCTGTTGAGGGTCCGCCAAATTTAACAGCAAGAGTTCATTATAATTTTTTTTCTTCTGTTTTCTCTTGGCATCCAAGCAAATTGTCGGGGTGGTGGACTGAACGCTATAGCTTGAGGTCCCTGAGAGCAATCCCTAACAATTGGGAGGGAGGAAGCTACATCTTGGGATCAATATAGTGAACATATTATGTGTGGCAGGGGAGAAAGAGAAACCGCGAGTGAGCTGTGGGAGCAGAATTGTTAGAGACTGAGGGGAGGGAGCGATCTCCTGCTTTTCCTGGCCCCAAAGGAATGCTGTAAAAATTACCTTCTGGAGATGGCAGCTCCCACCTCCATTTTGCTACCAGATTGCCCAAGTTCTGAGAAGCCCAGATGGCAACTGTTACATTTAAATCAGGCTCCATTTACATGGTGATGTAGATATTTTTATAAAATGTGCCACCTCTCAAGAGAGGGCATTCTGTCCACTGCCATAAAAATGCCAACGGGCGTGTACATGATGAGTTGAGGCCATGTTCCCCACTTCAACACTTTTAAACACCCTTTACACAGTCCTGACTGGAAGAACATGGACGTGCAGCTCCATACTTGAACACTTTCAGTTCTTTCAACTATCAGTTTTGATTGAAATTCTTTTTGTTTAGAAAAACCTCTTATGCCCATTTGGGTGATCATGTCAGTCTGTACTGGCACAGGATACTGAGTTTTTCGTCATGTCCAGGAAATCAGAGTTCCATGGAAAGAAGAGCAGAGACACATTATGATATGTTCCTGTGCCCAATGCACTGCCAAAGCATGCCCTGGTGTTTGCTTGTTCAATTCACTGGGCATTTTAAGTCCCAATAGAAGAAAATCTATCTTTGCTCCTTTACGGCTGCTTGTTTCAACTTCAGATACTTCCAGGTTAAGTGTACTGTTTATTTTCTCACCTTCTTCCAATGATTTGGCCTCACTATAACTTCAGAAGCACATAGCCACTTCTGTTCACATTACATTTCATAGCCCATTTAGTCTGAGTGAGACTGGCAATCACTAAAATATGGAGAGTTTTTTGTTGTAACGGGGGATTTTCAACTTGCCTCCCAAGCGTACAACAAGCATTTTATATTGATTCCTTGTTCAATGGTCTGATTTTTCATTTCATTCAAATCAATGGAAATAAAAATTGGCAGCCCCTGTCATGGACAACATAATTCACAATGTTCCAGTTTTATAGTCAGATGGTAAGTTGAAAACCTGCCTCATTGTCTTGCTGTTTTTCAGAATTGCATTGCATTCACCTGTTTAGGTTTATAAGGACCCGTAGTGATCAGGACTTCTTTTGCTGAAAGAACTCTTTGATTCCTTTTCTTGGAGGTAAATTTGAACTGAACATCAAAAGCAAACCATCGCCTTTCCTTTCCCATGTAACTTGACTCAATTTTCAGGCACACCTCTACCCAGTGATACTCACCCAAAACAGTTTGATGGTTGCTTAAGTATGTAAATGAGGGAGGGGCCATTAAGGCCTGTGACTCTGGTTACAATTTTCATAAAAGGACTGAACATGAGTCATGCACATTAAACTGAATTATACTAGACACTGGTGAAATTGGCAGCAGTCCATAATAAAGGACTACACCAGTCTGCTCAGGAAAAGAAATTTTTCTGTGATGTTTTTGAGAGGTTAGAAGGAGCCTTCTTATCAGCCTGTCCACCCACAGGCCCAGGAATTGTGCTCGTCCCCCTCCCTCCAACCACTAACTGGGTCAGCCTGCTTCTAGCCAGCTGAATGAGGCCAGAAAACAAAAAAAGAAACAAAATGGTTTGGGCCTTTCATTGTAGCTTTGGGCAGGCAGGGTGGATGCTCTGTCTGCCCACTTCACAGGCACTTTGTGCCCAGATTGAGAATCTCGCCAAGTTTGTTAAATCTCTGAGATTCCACATTGGCAGATAATGAATAGTTACTTTCTGTCAGCGAGAACTGAAAAATCGGGGGCAAGGTTACCCTGGGTTGTTCTTGCAGCCATACCAGAGATTACTTAATGGACAATATTGGCAATTGCTTTTGAGAAGGTTTGCCTGTTCACTCTTCAAGGAAAAATAATCAAGAATAATTCATGCTACAAAAAGCAATAACCCTATCTTGGAACTCAACTGATAGCTATAATTATTTGAGCTTTGCACTCGAGATGATGTATGCAGCCATCTGAACATTGTCTGTTAGATTACTGCTTTATAATAACTCTCACGGAGCCATTTTCCTATACATGTCATTGATTCCTTACCAAAAAGCAGTTTACAAGCTGCACAAATCCAGTAAGAGGGTTATAAACACTATTTACCCTGTAAAGTGTCAGTTTCAGCGTCACTCTAACTTGAGAATGTTCCTGTTTACTCAGTAGTGTAAGGTTAATAAGTAGCTATATGCAATAGAAATACTCTTCCGCCCCGCTGAAAGTGTGTCCCAACTATTTGCAGTTCTGCAGCACATCCATCAAATATTCCATGCAGTTTGGAATCTGTCAGTTCTTCACTGGTAAGTAATGTGTTGGAATTCTACACCCACTTTCATTCATGCAGCATCTTTAATTCAGAAACAAATTTCAGGATAGTTTGAAGAGGCATCATCAGACATTGAATTGCAGGATATTTACAGATCAGAAACACACCATTTCACCCAATTGGTCCACATCAACATCTATGCATCACATAATCCTCCTCTTACCTATTTCACTGTGCCCTACTATCATCTGCTTTTATTCCTTTCTCCCTCATGTACATATTTAGTGTCTTCCTAACTACTAGGGACTAAGATAATGTTAGAAGGGATAAATAAAATAAAACAATCGAAGAGCAGGTTTTAAGGAAAGAGCCTGTGCTGAGACAATGGTTTAAGTTGTGATTCCTTCACTTGGTGCTACAGGAAAATTCAGGTCCCCTTTGTGTTCAGACCAGCTCTCCCACCTCCCCTTCTGATTGCCACCCACAAGGACCCTTCACCTATTCTGGGCGGGAAGTGAACCAGCAGTGCATGAAGCTTGTCTTAATTGATGCAGGAAACTGGTAGAAAAAAGAAAGCATTTTCCACCAGTATTGGCCTGACAATTAAAGTTTCTTCTATCTGGTGTGGAATTCCTAGCCTGTAATGTTGTATCCTTTGAGGAGTAGAAAGAGGGGACAACTGACAGACAAAATTAAGTAAAACTAATCAATATAGCTGCAAATTAACATCCGGTCTAAATTGAACTCATAGCAAACTCTGTTTTATTGATATTTGTACCCACCTCTTCCCAGAAATGAAGCATGAATCAGACACAATCTAAATATTGACTTCAGTCGAGGGTTGTAATGTCTTTCTTTTGATCAAAGGTCACAGTACCAGCAGAAATACTATTTGCATCCGAGACAATAGATTTGCTTTTTATTAGCTCAGTCTGATTTTTTCTCCCCCTCTTACCAGCTCTTGGTATAGTTCCACAGGTGGCAACAATGCAATTCTCATGATGGTCTTTTTCCTCTCACATCGTGAACGTTGGGACCATTTGATCGTGCTTAAAGTGCAAGGTGAGATAATCATTACAGTGGAATTAGTTCTCTTTCTCTGCTAACAAATTTGCATTAGTTATTTTTACAGCAATAATTGTTTGGATGGAAATGCAACACTGTCCTAACGTCTCCCTGGCTTGCCGTAGTCACATGCCATACACTCTTATTGCCAGTAGCCATCTTACAAACAAACAGTCTTATTAAAGGCAGTGCACAAGCAAAATTGTACCTGTTGAACACTTAAGACAGTGTTCAGAAGTGGAGCTGAAAGTGACTCTTGAAGTACGACATCGAGGCATAGCTACTAAAAAGGGCAACACAGAAGTAATCAAAGCTACTGAAAGATGCTAAAAGCCATGTAAAAGAAACTTTCATCATTCCTGTCAATTGTCCCAAACATGCTAGACAACAAGAAATTGGCACGCATGCATGCTGGATGGGAGTTGCAGATGAGGGCTGTCTTCTTCCATCAGGCCTACCATAGGATATCAAGAAACCAGATGCTGCCAGTCTGGTATGGATTTGCCACCTTTGTCAGTCCATGGTCCAGAGGAATGCCCAAAAATGCAGAAAGAGGTTCAATGACCTTCCCTGCTCCACAAGGATAAATGTCACCAACTTCTTTTTGCTACCTCATGCTTAATCTATCTCTTCGACTGCACACATCTTCCTCCAAGGCTCATAGCCTGCCACTCTCACTGTCCCATTCAACATCTCCCCTCAATTGCTTTCACCCACCCAATCCCCCTACACCACAAATCCTGAATGGTCTCTGTGCTGCCAACTAATGCATCCAGGATACCTCAACACCTTTCCCCCACCTGAACCCAAAATCCTAAGTCCTTTTGTGCTTCAGATTTCCAAAGCCTTTCTCCCATTTAGTAAATAATCTATGCCTCTATCCTTTCCACCAAAGTGTGTAACCTCACACTTTCCCATATTGTATTCCATCTGCCACTTCTTTGTCCACTCTCCTAGCCTGACCAAATCCTTCTCCAGCCTCTCCGCTTCCTCAGCACTACCTTTCCTTTCAACGATCTTTATGTCATCTGCAAACTTAGCAATAATGCCCTCAGTTCCTTTGTCCAGATTGTTAATGAATAACATAAATACTTGTGGTCCCAATTCTGACCTCTGTGGAACTCCTCTAGTCACTGGCTGGCATCCTGAAAATGACCCTACCATGTTCAGTCTCTGCCTTATTCCAGTCAGGCAAACCTCTATCTGCACCAATGCCTTGTTCCTAACACCATGGGTTCTTAACTTATTTCACAGCGTCCTGTGCAGCACCTTGTCAAAGACGCTAATAATACCAGCAAACATTGGAGAAAAAGTGGACAACCCAATTGTCTGCCAAGCATGCCAAGAGACTGATGAAAGAACTAATGAGAACAATGAATAGATTTGGTCATGCATGAGAACAGTTGTGTTCAATTGGTAACTCAGCTAAATTACAGTTTATACGATAGTACATGAAAATTATTTTCTCAATGTAAAGCAGGATTTTTCAGTGGAATTCCAATACAGTGTCGATGTCTTTCCTGGCTTGCATCAGTCTTGTGACCTGTACCTTGATACACCCACTCCAGGCAGACATCTTACAAACAGTTTGATTAAAGACAGAATACAGGTCACATTGTACTCATTGAATACATAACAGCCAACAGATGCAGACAATCTGGCCTACATTTTGCTCCACTGTCTGGAACCTAAGTTTGGAACTCCCAGCCTTGATTAGTTAACTTAGCACAAACTAGGCAACATACCAGAAATATTTCTGGTCCGAGGAGCTAAGTGCTGCTTAGTGCTTCGACCAACTGAGCCAATGGGGGAAATAGCAAAAAAGAAAAAGAAACAAGCTAAGTGCCCTGAGATGCATCCTGTTTCAAAGAATGAGATAGGACCCTGTACCTGCGTGCAAAGCTTCCTGGCAGTGGAAGTGCAATGAGAAGTCTCAGTGAGCTCCAAAGTATGGTTTTGAAGTGATATCTGAGATGTGCCATGATGACGTCGCGTTTAGTTAATGCCAGGCTCCATGGACCAAAGGTGCAGGCAGTTGCTACCCATAGAGTGTGCCTTCAGGTGTTGTGGCATGGTGGCTGAGAAAGATATCCAGAGAAGACACTAGTTTGTTGCAGGATCTAGATAACCGCTTTGACTTTCAAGTCAGAAATTATTGCCATTTATTTTCTTTTCTTTGTTGGGCAAAATAGCAAGCTTTAAATAAATGAGACAACAAGGTGCAGAGCTGGATGAACACAGCAGGTCAAGCAGCATCATAGCAGCAGGAAGGCTGACGTTTCGGGCCTAGACCCTTCATCAGCCTTCCTGCT